TCAAGATTGGCAACATAAAACTATCAAATTGTAATAATAACCTTGGTTGTTTTGGGCTGGCCACAATGAACTCGCATTTTTCATTGTAACACTTGCTCCAGCATGGACAGCTAGTTTCTTTGAGTGGGTCTTTAAAGTCTTGAAGGCGGTAAGAGAGAGTCAACACAAGGAGTTTCTAACATTTGGGTGTTGGAGTTTCCAACATCTGGGTGTTGGAGCATGCTTAGGAACTTGGTGGATTGTGCAATGGAAATAAACTAGCTTTTAATATGTATTGGAAACTTGAAAGACAAGTAACATGAAAGGGGTGGAACATTCCAATTTGGAGCTCATGTTTATTTAGATCTTTATTTCGAATATAGCATTTTGTTGTAATATTGTGGGAAGCCTTGATTTCTACCAATTTTCTCTCTACATTTTCTCTTTGTGTGTGTTTCTTTCACTAAGTTGCAGTCCCGTAGTTTAGTCGCATCATTTGGTATCAGAGCCTTAGTTCAAGCTTGGACAAGGTGTTGTGTCTATTTACACGTACTTTTCCATGGCCGCAAGAAGGGGGAGAGGTGGTCGTGGCAACTGCATAATGAACAACATAAGATATGAGTTGGAGGAACTACAGAGGCAAGTGGAGCAGTTAACGTTGCGACTCGAGCGTCAAGAATCTCACAGTGAACATGAACTTTGCCACGAAAACTCAAGTGATAAGTCGGAGACCCAGATAGTGATAGACGAGTCCTTTTCATGGTGCCGTCATAATCAAGAGTTTGGTGCACCATGTCATCAACTTAGGTGCCAAATCGATGATGATTTGGGGGGGTGGGGGGATTATGAAAAGTTTATCAGAAAACAACTATGGAAAAACTTTGTTTTCATCAAACAGTTCTTCAGATCTGCCCGTTGTGGATTGGGACTTACCACCAGTCTTTGATAAGTACTTAGATGTTGATTTAGGTATTGAGAAAGAAGTTGGCAATAATAACTTTAACAACGATCCAATCACTAAAGAGGATCAAGAAGAAGATCCTATTCTTAGAGAGGACTTTGTGGATGCTCTTGATGAAAAATGAGTGGTTTGGGTTCTTCCAATGCATCTCAAACTAGAGTAAGATTAGAGATTTTATGAGTTTTGCACCATTAGCAAACCGGATATTTGGAGGTTATCATCTCTCTAAGGAAGTTCAAGGTTTTCGGAGTTTCTCTCAGAGGCCGAAGGTACTGTTTTCTCTGCAAATATCCATTGCCTCAGGATACCTCTGTTCATCGTGAAGCAATGGATGAGAGGGGAAAAAATCACTGGTTTTGGAGCAAGGGATGTGGAGTTCAGCAGCTTCACGAGGCAAATATAGTGCGTCTTTTTACCTTTTCCTATCTGCTTTGGGCTGTTGTGCTCCCCTGCTTCTCACCAAACAAGAAAGAAATCCATTCAGGGATGAGAGAGATTGCCTGCCCATTTTGTTCAATGAAACCACAATTTTTATTGTTTATTTTTGGCTTACATCCCTTTTTCGTCAAGAGCCCTTCGTCATCTAAAGCTCCCAAACTTTACAATTGTTCTTTATATAAACCAATGCTTGATATCATGGTAGCTAAAATATCATGATAAAATACGTCTTCAAAACATTGAGATCATCACGACAATTAAAATACCATAATACACCATGAAAGAAGGACTCGTATGATCCAGCTGGTAATATGTAATAATTTTTTTATTTTTTTTTCAATTTTTTTCTTTTCTTCACGGCATATATCACTCACAAGTAATCCTTTTACAATAAAATAACTTCAAATAAAATAAAATAAAATAATACAATAGGATCTCAAGAACTTAAAGCCATTCAAACCTCACTTTTCATTAACAAAAGAAAAGATGCAACTATGCTAGGAAATAAAAAACACAATAAATATAATATGGAAAAAACAAAAGAGGGTTCTGGAAATTACCTCAGCTGAAGTCACCCTACATCGAGTCACCATTTTTTGATGGCATGGGATCTAATGGTCAACTTTCAATCTCAATCGGAAAAGCAATTTTGGACAAGCCACACCAATGGAAGACCCATTTGATCACAAAACTCAAACCCTAAATGAATCCCCTTAGCAACCTAGTTTGAGAGATATGCTTATCTTTTCTACCGCAACCCTATAGTCTAAAACCCAAAGGAGAGATAAGAGATCATAAGAAAAGATGAGCGACACCATGATATGAGATTAGGGAGAGAATGTGGCGTGTCCCCCCCCTTTAGGGCTTTCAAGGGAGAAGAGAGAGATCGAATTTCTATTGGAGAGATAGAGATATTCTAAGTGGGGCGTGCCCCCTTTGGTACGTCAACAAAGAGAGATGGAAAGTACATGGTGTAGGAGATACGGTGGGAGATTTGAGTAGGGATCAACCTTTTCTTTATAGTGATTTACCAAAATTAGGGTTTTTTTTGGCTTGCCATATGAAATTGGATATGCACCATTAAACTTGAGTGACTTGTGGGGTGAGAGATATGAGCTTTCTATTCCATGGAAGGGCCATCAACATCTTACGGAAAGGTGTTAGATTATTATCCCCACTTCCTAAACCATTTTCCCATCAATTAATTCAAATAAAAAATTAATATATCATAATATTATCCATTCTTATTTTATGCAGAAGCGTTCTCATATATATTAAAATATCATTCAAAATTTCTTCAAGGCTCAAACTTACTTAAAACAACACAAACTTATCTATCAAGCTTAAAGCTTGATCTCCACAAAATAGAAGGTTTCTCTAGGCAGGGCGTGCCACCTATTAGGGCACATAATAGGCCCCACTCAATATGTAATGGTGGGCTCACAAGATATAATGGGCCTCCCATGAAATTATATTAAATTTATAGTTTTAGAAAAACATAAAATCATTATTTGAATATTTAAATCATTATAAATAAATATCTCTGTTTTTATAAATCCAAATTTTATAAATAAAATATCCAGAGATTCAGAAAAATTATAATAACAATTCTAAAAATAATATATTTTAAAATAAACAAAATAAAAAAACTTTGACGGGAAAAAGATCCTTATGGTTTAAGAATATTTATTCACTGGAGCACTCCATGTCCAACCGTAAACTACGAACCATATATGCTTTCTCAAATCGACCTAGTGTTTCCATGACCCACAGGCTATGCAAGAGATCATTAGAAAATCACCAAAGTCTAGCCAATGGGCAAAGGGTTGCAGTCCTAGTATATAGATTTCAGGTCTCCTTGGAGACGAAACCCGAAGTCATCCTGACATGATGCAATCCATAGCTCGCTTTACCAAAAACGACTATCGATATGCATGCCGTATGATGGTATAAATGATGAGGCTTTGGCCCCGTCTTTGAAAGTCTCCATCATACACACGGATCACACAATCTTTCGGCTCACTCGTTCGGGCATACTCCGATCTCATCAAGGGATAAACCATATAATCATCATTGGTAATATTCTTAGAGCCTAAGTAACATGGGTTTTTTCCAACCAGATCGACCTAACACGCCATTCACAATCTAGTATCAACAAACATCTTTTGCTTAGTATGGTTCACAAGGGACCGCACTCGCATTGAATTCATGTTCCATTATATATATATATATATTGATTTTACAAGCCCAACACACCCTATGGTCATCACAATATTGTAAATATTGTAATACATCTCATAGTCATCATGGTAGTTTAGGTACTGTGATGCTTTTATTGTCATACGACTAACATGAAAGCTATTTTGGTAAAAAAAATATGAAACGAGAAAAAAGAAAAGAAAAAAATTATGATAATTTCCCTATAATTTATCTTTTATCTAATTTCTCAACCGCAACATAAGTGTAAACTCAAGTATTTACCGTGAGTACAAACTTGGGTGCATGGTGACACGAAAGAGTTATGTTGTTCGAGAATTATCACATTTTCAATTTCTTAATCACATACTCCAAATTTCCAGAGAACCCTTTGAAAGAGTATTTTGGACAAAACAATATTATGTGTTTCTTTGGGGAAGTTTATCAATAACTTAGTTGACAATAAATTTTAAAAAAAGTTCATATAAAGTTTCAACTCTATATTATAAATGTTACGTGCACCTCAAAAGTCCAGTAAAAATAAGTGTTTTAAAGTTAGAAAACCTCCTAATTGATCATCTCAACCTCAAAATGTATAGATTTAAAAAGAAAAAAAAATTTTAAATCTAAAAAGTAGTGTATCTTATAATTCAGACCCTTTATTTTTAAATTTTTTAAATGCTTATAGATCTTTTCAATTAATACTATTTTGGGGATTTTCAATTTATTTTAACTATTGTCGAATACAAATTTTCTAGCCCTTAGAAGGTTTATCACGTGAAACTACGTCTCATATAAAACTTAAAAGTACGTCTCACTTCTACAGAATAAGGAAGCAACTTTAAACCTTATGTAAACCTTGCCCATTAAAAAAATGGACGCAACGTGAAATAGTTCGAGTTCTTGTACATGGAAAAGTTTATATAAGAGGTCCAAAACAATCAAACTAAGGTGCACATAAAAAATTCAATATAAAAAGTTGTTTTGATGCCGAGCATCTCGATCTTGAAATAATGGGTCTAAATTTTGTTTTCAAGTTATGAAAATAATGCATCTAGTAATATATTATTTAGACAGTGAATTTCAAGATTATCAAGTGTTCAATATCTGCTTTTCTCAAAAAAAAAGTGTTCATAGATTTGCTTGATTTAAACTATTTTTGAAAATTTTGTAATTTTTTTTAAATTTAATAACTATATATAAAAATAAATTTTAAACAACAACTTGACGTTGGACCTTACCTTGATTGTGTAGAGCCTCAGCCTTATACAACCCACACCCCTTATATGTTCCATTTCCTTTATTGCGTGGGCACAGGGGTATTTTGGTCATGCAAAACTTTCCTTCTTTTTCCCGCAGATTGCCGTGGGCGACCAGGTTGAAAGTGTCACCTAAAACCTAGTCACGGCGGAAACGGCGGGTAAAGCTTTCTGAAACCCTAACCCTAAATTTTCTTAACTCGTTCTCTTTTTTGTTTTTTTCTCTCTCTTTCTACACGGTTTTCTAAGATTTTCTTGGTATTTGCTGCTGCTGTTTAGTATCTCTGAAACCCTAAGTACTAGTGGACCCTAGTCATAAGAGTTGTGCGCTGAACCCCAAATTTTTTTGCTGAAGCTTGTCAGTTCTCTATTTGCAATTGCTTTGATCTTCAATTAGTTTCATGGTAAGTTTTTTTTGAGAAATAATTTAAGTTTTTTTTGAGAAATAATTTCATGGTAATTTTAGCTCATCTGAATCCCTGATCATCGATGAATGGCTATCGGCTGAAACCATAGTTCATACTGGAGATTTATGGTTTTTCTTCTGAAACCGTATCGACTGCTGAGTATTTATCATTTTCATTTAGAGAAACTTCTCTGATTTATCTGAAGTTTTGACATTGTTTTTCCTATTTTGGCTCTATAATTACTTATGGTTTCTCCATTTGCAGTGAAATTCATCCAGTTCCTCTCAAGTTCTTACTTTTTTTTGCGGGCTTTTTCAATGAGATGTGAGGAAAGAGGATGTCAGAAACTTAATTTGTGACAACTGTGCCTTTTCCCCTAAATTCGACCATTTTCCCTTGTATTCCCTGCAAATCCATGGCTGCAGTTGAAGGAAATGAAAGGGTTATCGCCACAGCTCAACAGATAGTGAAGAGTCTCGGAACTTCAAAAAATGCAGAGAAAGACATGCTTATGATCCTCTCGAGCTTTGACAACCGCTTCTCTGATCTTCGTGTTAATTCACCGAGCTCTGAAATGGAGGATAGTCTCGATCTTGCAGAGGAGAAGCTTCTCAAATGGGACCTAGATTCCACTGAACTATCAACGAAGAACTCTCTACTCTGGGAGAACTTCCCTGAAGAGGCAAAGGAATACCTAACCCTAGTTGATAAGGTTATCGACATTGCCAAAACCCTAGAAAACACCTCTCTGAAACCGGATGATAAGGATGCTGAGCTCCTTGATCGATCTCAGACCCTGATCCAGATAGCTATGGCTCGTTTAGAGGATGAGTTTCGCCATATCCTGATTCGTAACACTATGCCTTTGAATCCTTCCTGCCTGTTTAGCTCCTTTTCTAGGGTTTCAAGGGCTATTTCAAGTGTTTCTAGGGTTTCCATCACCTCCACTGATGAATCTAGGGTTGCTAGGGTTTCACTTGGATCGAATGATGATTCTAGGGTTTCTAGGGTTTCGATTGGGTCAAATGAGGATTCAATTTATGATGATGATGAAGAAGAAGTTTTGGAAGAGGATTTCACTGGTGAAGAATATGGTGGGGAGGCAGCAGAGGGCCTGATAAGGATCGAAGCCATTGAAGACCTCAAGGAAATTGCGGAGTGTATGCTATCTGCTGGTTATGAGAGGGAGTGTTGCCAAGTCTACGCATCAGTTCGACGAGAAGTGTTTGATGAGTGCTTATCGAATTTGGGTGTTGAGAAACTGAGCATTGAGGAGATTCAGAAAATTGAATGGAATGAACTCGACGGTAAGGTAAAGAAATGGATACAAGCCATTAAAATCCTTGTCAAAGTGCTCCTTTCTGGTGAAAAGAATCTATTGGAGAAGGTCTTTGAGTACACTGAAGAGGTGAGGCATGCTTGTTTCATTGAGTCGGCTAAGGGGTCTGTTATGCAGCTTCTGAATTTTGGGGAAGCTATTGCCATAGGTCGGCGCAAACCTGAGAAGCTCTTTCGAATTCTTGACATGTATGATGGGTTGGCTGAGGTCTTGGAAGGATTGAATTCATTGTTTTGTGGTGATCATATAGTTGCAGAGGCCGAAGGGTTGTTAACCAGACTTGGTGACGCAGCAAAAGTCACATTAGAGGAGTTTGATAATGCAATCAAGAGAGACACATCTCGGGTCCCTGTTCAAGGGGGTGCCCTCCATCCCCTAACCCGTTATGTGATGAATTATGTCAAATTGTTGGTGGATTACAGTGACACACTTAATACTCTTTTGGAGGGTACAAGTGATAATAATTGGGTTTTTCAGGGCATTGATGAGGATAGTGGAAATGTGAGTGTGAATTCCCCCTTGGCCCAACGTCTCCTATGCTCGATTCTCTCGCTTGAATCAAACCTCGAAGAGAAATCGAAGCTTTACAAGGATATGTCCATGCAATGTATATTCCTTATGAATAATATACATTACATCGTTAGGAAGGTTAAGGATAGCGAGCTTGGGGAGCTTTTAGGGGATGATTGGGTCCGGAGGCATCGGGGGAAGGTTAAGCAGCTTGCTACTAATTATTTGAGGGCTTCATGGAACAGGGTGCTAGCTTGCTTGAAGGATGAGGGACTAAGTGGGGTGGGGGGTTCTTCTAGTTCGGTCTCAAAGGTTGCCTTGAAAGAGAGGTTTAAGAGTTTCAACTCTGGGTTCGAAGAAATTTACAGGAATCAGACCGCTTGGATGGTCCCAGATGCTCAACTACGAGACGATCTTAGGATATCTATATCAACAAGAGTGATTCCTGCTTATCGTGCATTTATGGGGAGGTTCAGTACCTACTTGGAGAATGGGCGGCACGCTGAAAGGTACATTAAGTTCACACCTGAAGACCTTGAGAATTATATTGAGGATTTGTTTGAGGGGTCACCGGGATCCTTGAACAACCCAAGGAGAAAGATTAGTTCCTGATGTGTGTCTGTTTATTTGGTAAGCCTTTACTCATATAATTATGATTTGTTTTTATCATGTTGGGGATTTCTTCTTGTTGATTCAGAAAGCTCTCTGAATTGCTTGGTGCATCGTTCTTTAGTTTTGATGTATTCTGTATAATCACAGGAACTATATTAATACATGTGTATGCCTTTTGTGTAGTTCAATAAAAATGTACAGATAGTGCGTCTGAAACATTTATTTTTTTCTCAGTTTTTCATGGTTTGCTTTTTTACTGGCCTTTTGCAAGTTACCATCATAAATTTTCTGGAATCTCGTGAGCTTAACATAGAAAGAACCTTTTATGAACCTCTCTTTATCATTCAGGTGCATTATTGGCTTCCTCAGTTCAGTCATGTTCTGCAGTATTGTGGTTTTGTCATCCATTTGGAAGTCTGTAACGTGGCTTGTTAAAATCCCCAACTCTTTTTCTCTCACTTGGTTTATTTGTAATTTTGACACCTATGTCTATGTGATTTCTTTGGGTTCTTACTTGGAAAGTTATATCTCGGATAGCTGGTACTTGGTGGGCTTCATGATAGTTAAAGGAGCTTTGGCGGTAGAACTTGGGTTGGCACTGTCTTGGGCCTGATTTACCTGAAAGAACTAAGTCAATTGGTTGAGCCACCAAGTTAAATTGAGTAATTTCACTTCTCCCTTTGGCTCGTCTTAGCCAAGGCTGATGGTACTTGTTTTTGCTTTAATCACTGCACTGCAAAATGGTATGAATTAGAGATCATCATGAACCATGGGGTCTGTGGTCTGTGCTGTGTGCAACTGTCATGCAGAGTGCAGGCGCCAAATTTCATATATTTGATGTCATTTGTGCATGCATCGTATGCCAGTCATTAGATTCATAGAAAGATCACTGTCGTTTATCGTGTATGCAGAAGCACACATACATGATCCATCCCCTGTGTTTGTATATGTTATGCGTTTGCTGGTGTGCTTGCATACTTGCTAAGTAATTCGAATTTCGAAAGCTAGCATTTTAATGTCGAACTTATTCAAAAATTATTTTATGCATATTAAAAAAAACAAAAAAGCAAAAAACATTTTGATGTCAAACTTATTGAAATTTTCCATTCAACCCATGTTTTGAAATCAGAACATCAAAAAGGGGGAGCATTGTAGGTTCTATTTTTTTTCCGACTAATATATTTACATTTCAACATGATTGAGAAGATCATAAGTCCATTTCAAAGTGGATTAGTGTTATGTATGGAGAAGCTTCTGATGACCCTGTCGAAAAGATATTTGTTCCAATAGTTACTCCTTATCGGAGCTTTCAATGCACATAGGGATCATTGGGATTACCTGAAAATGTAAAATGTATGTAACTACGTTTAGATCCTTTAAAATTATATCATTGGCTGAATAAAGATGGTTTTCATCTGTAGCCTTCATTTGGATATGGGAGTCAATCTGGTAATTGAACTATGATTGAACATTTGTTTTGAGTTCCGAGCCTGAGAAAAGTAGATGGCTTTCCGTCGTTTCAAGTTTGATGAAATACTGGAATAGGCCGGTAACTGTTTAGGGAAGATCACAGCTTAGGAGTAAAAGGGTCGAAGGTGTAAATGCATGATAATTCTGTAATTAAGTTGAATGATGCCAGCAAGATTGATGACTGAAGAGGTTGAGATGTAATATGAGTTCAATGATAGGGTATTATATTTTTAGAATGGTGGCTATTAGGATTAGTGATTTATGATTTCCATCAAGAAATTATCTTTTCTTTGTTTTTGTTTTTTTTCTGTTGATTGTGAGGGAGAAAGGAAGTTGCAGAACTTAGTTTATCATTGCGTTGCCTGCATCAGATCCAGAAAACAGAGCAAGGTGTGAGTAAGATAGTGCAAAGGGGTAACTGATCTTCCCATAGGGCTTTGCATTAGATATGTAAAGGGGAGGTAGTGCATAATAAAAACAAGGAGCACATGACCAATTTAATCACTGATTAAGCCTAGTTCACCTTGGATTGTGTTGAATAATAATAGAAGTAGCTTGACTCTGGCTTTTCTATCTCTATGCTTAAATTATAAAGCAATGTATAATATGGTTATGTGTCTCTCCTTTTTACTTATTAGGAATATGCATTTCACTGTTTGAAATAAAAGATAAAAGAGAATTTTTTTTTTGGGTAAGTGTTAACAGTACAAAAAGGAGAGGTTTTTTTCCTTTTGTTTTTTTGGGACAACCCTTAAGATACCCTAATGTTTAACATAGTACCTACCTGTCATGTTTTTGGTATTTCAGAGTATCAATCAAAACTTATTGGGAGGGCACTTTCTATTTTGCTCCTCTGCGCAAAAACCTTAATTTTTAGTTATTGCTATTTGGTGGTAAGTGAATTTCTGAACAGTGTTAATTTTTTATAAATAAAAAGAACTCTTTGTAAATACTGGTGTTTGAACACCAATATCCCATGGATGTAGAAAATGAAAGTTGTAAATATCGGTATTTTGAATACCATTATCTTGTAAATCTTACTTGTTATAAAAGCCAAAGGGTTTCTGGTGGAGAAGCAATATTGGAAGTCCTCTTCCTGTGCAGTTATGACACTCTAGGGATAAGTTATAAAAAATATTGAGAAACTTTGGCCAAAGTGTTAAATTAGGTTCTCTTATCAGTTTCTTGGTAAAGAATTCAAAATTAATCGGATGCTTTTCTTGGAACTATTTGTCTCCTAGGGTTTTTAGTTCGTAAGTGGCAGAGGCAGTAAGTATAAGTTTGCGTGTTGGATTTTTAATCGTAACGATGATCGTTAGTCTGTAAAGAATGGAGATAAATGGTATGATGGTAATTTAAGTTTCAAAAGTAATAGTATGAATGATATATTGTGTTATAAAGTATACTAGTGTAGAAAGGCATGTTGAGCTGAGGCACAAAAAATGAAGATCAAGATCTAAACCTTTCTTAAGTGTATAGAGAATTTAAAATAAAAAAATTAAGGACAACGAATGATATGACTTATTGAAGAAAGGATTAAATTTAGAGATTTCCATTTAATTAAGAATCTTAGTGAGATTAAAGTTTAGAATTTAAGGCCTATTCGATGTTGAGAAGAAATGGCAGTAGTACGATGGTGGATCAGCATAAAAGGGAATGAGTTTTTGTTACTTACATTTTAATGAGATCAGCTCTAGACGCCAAGGAGTGAGGTGTCCTTGAAAACGTGAAAATGGTGTGCATCATGGGATTGAAAACAACATTTTCATTTTCATTTTTTCTCCAGAATTCCATCCTCATGACACATCTGCTACTCAAGAGAAAAAGCGCTTGGCATGTAAGGACTTACGAAGTTAGAAAATTGTGGACAGTAGATTTTAGAATCACTATTACTTACATTTCATGTAGTTCTTTTCTTCATCATGGCTTGGTCCATGGTCCTTGATAATAAACCATTCTTACCCATTAATTGATCAGTTGCTCCCAAGTTATTGAGCATTGATTAAGATCTGTCGTCTTTTTCAGCTCACTGGAAGTAATTTGGATTTTATTTGTCATGTATTAAAGCCATTGTCATTGAAGAGCAGGTTGACACCGCAGGCAATATTGGCTTGGGGTGGGAATTTGGTGGGCCAACCCGCCAACTGAATGGGCTGACTCAACCCGGTCTGGGTTCTGACCCCTACACATACCCAATGCCAGGTTCACTGACAACCTGGGTGAGGTGCGGGTCGACCTGGCCAAACTTGATACTGTAAATGAATTTATAATCTATACAAGTATATGTAGCTTACATATTGAAAAGGTGTATGCCATATTTTGTATATACTGTTATAACATTTAACAGTTTTTTATGTCTAGATCCAGACCTTCTAACCTACCGATCCAGTCTCACTTGAACGCCATCAAGTCGAGTCCGGGTCAGGATTGACCCGGACGATTTACTGCCCTAATATTGACTTGCTTTCTTTTTGTCCCTGGATCCCCAAAATTTCCAGCCATTGCTTTACTCCTCGGTCATTAGCTCATGATCTCATCAATGGAACCCATGGTAGGCTACTCATCGCTATTATGTCACTCTATATGTTTACATCATAACTTTCCCCAATGTCCATGTAATCTTTCATTGCTTGCATTTCATTGCCCTAACAATTGATGATAAACTTTCCATTTACCCATTTAAAGTCGGCTCATATCCAAATGGCCATAAATAAAGAATGGAAGTGTGGGCCCACTTTTGTTATTATGAACTTAGCTCTTTGCAAATTTCAATGTTGTCACAATAGGGGCATGCATGGCTACTCTTCTCAGTATTTTCCTATGGTTCTAACAAAGGGTTTTTCATTTTTCTAATTAATATGTTGGTGGACAATACATGAATTAAAGTCATGTTCATTAGAACGTTGACTGTTCTTCTTCTTGTTCTTTTTTTTTTTTGGGTAATTATGTGGGAAACACTGGCCTTACCTGTTTAATTGGAATAGTTGAGGAGTTAGTTTTTTTAAGGTGTCAGTGGGTGGTGTCGGTAGTAATAGAAACCATGATGTGGTGATTGAGGTATGGGCGTGCGATCAACAATATTTTTTCTTGTTGATAAAGGGACATTTGCACTAATATCTTTTGTATATAGTGGTATTTAAAAATGGATGGGTTTTATATAAGGCTCCTACCTTATAGTACTATACACTTATAGTACTATACACGTAAGGTGCACCTCTAAAAATTGTTGGAAGATGTAGTTTTGGTGTTGGGAACAGGCTTGAAAATATATGTTCAATTTTAATTATGAGATTTAAAATTTTAAAAATGATACAAATTTCTCATATTTACGAACATTTCAAATTTTGAAAATAGACAATCCATATGATTTCTTGTTATAAAATGAACTATTTTTAAGACTTGAAATCTTTTTTTTTTTGGTTGAGATGACTATTTGAACGGTTTTCCAACTTTAGACCACTCTTTTCTACTGTGCTTTTGGAGTGCACCTTGCTTCTATAGATTGCAACCTTATATAGACATTTTCTTTAATTCTCTATATTTAATACTTTAGACGTATATGATCATTTCTTTTTTATTTTTTTAAAATTACCCCAAGTTCCGAATGATTAGTCTGATTGCTCACTAAAATTCTTGTGAGGAGCTAAGAACTATTAATTTATGACTGCTTGGTTTAGCCTGCCATATTTGTAAGTAATCAAAGTGGTATGGACCCCTTTAATCTCTTACACTTGATTCCTTATAATAAGCCGTTTGGTA